AGGGCGCTTTTGAGGTGCTTCCTCGTGTACCAGGTACCACGAGCACGAACAAACGACTTTTTTCCCCCCCCCTCCCTCGTTTCTCGTTTCCTTTTTCTTTTCTTTCCCTCTTCTTGTTTTCGTTCCCTCCATTTGTTCCTCCATTCTCTCTCCTTTTTTCCCCCTCCCCCCTTCTCCCTCGTTCCTTCTTCTTTTCCATTAATTGGTCTAACGGAGCAAGGTTAATCGCGGAATATTGAAATTTTCGTTCACGAGCGGGTGAATCGCTCTCCCGACAAAGCGAATCCGTTTAAAAGGCGGAACGTGGAGCGGGTTCTCGCTCGAGACGAGGTTCTTTTTTTTTTTTTTTATTATCGGTAGAGGAGGGGGGAGAGGAGGAGAAAAAAAAACTTCCAAGAAAGCAACGACGTGTGTAATATTTTAATCCGCGTAACGGAAGTTGGAAGAAATTTCACTTTTCCCAATCGCATCTTTCGGAAAGATTTCGAAAGCCAGATTCGTTTCGAATATTTTTATTTCTTATCGTCTAGATACTTAGGCGTAGGAAACACGATTTCGGATGGACTCTCGTTATTTAAACGACGAGGGTGCGGGGAGGACGGGGAGGGGGTGTAGTAGATGGAGAAGTAGACGCGTGACGTAGATTGGTGGGGAGGTAGTAACGCGTGTGAGTGAACTGGTGGAGGAGGGAAAGAAAGGTGGGACGGTAGGGGCGGAATTTAGAGGGTAGGAATGTCTTGGTCCAGCGATAGCCTTGAACCCCTGGGATACACCGGCACACATCGCGTCGTGCGTTTTCGAAATTTCGCGAGAAATCGAAACCTTTCTCACCGAATTTTTTCGACCCAATTATCGCGAGTCCGGTGATAAAAATATATCACCCTCTTTATTTGGTGGTAGTCTACTAACGCGAATCGAGGTCGATATAAATAATGCTTCGAATTCGATCGATCCGAAACGTGGGAAACGAAAATTTCCTTTTCCCTTTTTCCTCGCCTTTTTTTCTCTCGACTCTCTCTCTCTCTCTCTCTCTCTCTCTCTCTCGATTCTCCGCCACCAGTCCTCGGGCACCTGCAAGCTTGCACGCCGTCGTAGAGTCGGTCGCGAGACAAAGAGAGGATCGTGTATCACGCGATCGAATCTAACGCAGGTGGAGGCTACGCGAGACTCCGCGTGTACGCGGAGGACCGGTCGAAACATCTGCATTTTCCCTGCGCGTGTCTTTTTTTTTTTTTTTTTTTTTTTTTTCGGCCAACCAACTAAACCATCGTCCATCCCTTTCTCTCTTTTTATCGCGCGCGCTCGCGCTTCTGGTTTACGTTCCTCGTTGTTATGCATTATTATCCTCGGGCCGCATTTACCGCAATTCAACGTTTAACGCGACGACGACGCTCCTCTTCCCGGCAAACGGTTAAACGCATCACGCGTTCGTTAGCGCGCAAACGATCTCTCCAGCACGCGCCACCGTTTTATTTACTCCGCCGTTTCCTTACTCTTCTCTCTTTTTTTTTTTTTCCTTTCTGTCTCTCTTCCTTTCCTCCTCTCCTCTCCTATCTTACTACCTACCTACCTACCTACCTACCTACCTACCTATCTATCTACCTACGGCAAAGTTCATTAATTTTTCAACCGCAACCTCGATTTTACAAACAACGCGGAGGAGGTGCGCACTCGAGGAGGAGGAGGAGGAACGACGACACGCGGTATCCTGAATACACGCATTCAAGGACAACTGACTCACGGGCTCACGGTGCGGTGTACTCCATACGAAACGAAACGTTCGACGTATCGCGTATTTATTTATCCCCCATCGATCGGGGGGAGGGGATAAGAAAGACTACGCCACCCGTTCGTCCGTTCGTTTCAACTCGGCTTGCGTGTAATTAAGAAATCTCTCTCTCTCTCTCTCTCTCTCTTTCTCTTTTTTCTCTCTTTTTTTCTTTCTTTTTTTTTTTTTTTTTTTTTTTGTTTTTTACACGTCGCGTTCACTCTCGTTTATCCCGGCCGCGTATTTAACGCGGGTGACAATCGGTCTTGAAAAAATAAAATATCCCGCAAATACGATTTGCCGTTGAACAGAGCTACTTTATTCGGGGAAATAGACCGCAGGATGTGATTCATCGTGTTTGGACAGTCGATTTTTTTTCAGACACAATTTGGCGTGATAGGATAAACGCGTTTTATTTAGATAGATTTTACCACCGAATCAATTTCGGTATAAAAGGATTAACGTATACGCGCGTGGTTTTTTTTCCGATTTTTTTTTTTTCCTTTTTTTTCTTTTTTTTTCTTTTTTTTTTTTCTCCCCACCCCCTCCCTCCCCCTCGCTTCCCTCCCCCCGGTTTTTGTTTGTCAGTGGTGAAAATTAACAATCGGGGCGCGCGTCCTTTTCACAGGTGGGATTTATTTCGTAACTGGTGGAGGTGCATTCCCGCTCACGGCTATTTACCGTGAATTATTCGACCAAGGTCAGTGGAACGTTCCTCACCAGTGGAACGGGATAGGAAACGGGAGAAGGAAACGGGCGGAGGAACGGAAAAACGGGGTTGCTCGTCCGCCGCGTTTCGCACGGAAACATTTCTAGGCAATCTAGTCGAAGTATAGGTGCCACAGCCCTCGGCTTTGGCTCCTAGGAATCCAATCAATAAATATTACAATGGAACCCCTAGAGAAGTAGGGGAGCGTATCCTCCTCTCGCTCTCCCTCTCGGCTCCCTCTCTATCTCTCCTCTCTCTCTCTCTCTCTCTCTCTCTCTCTCTCTCGATCCTCCTCTTTCCCGCCACGGCGGTGGAAAAAGGATCTGTCCTACGTCGTGCTCTCACAGTCGTCGCGTTCCTCGTCCTCGTTCGCCTCGTCCTCGACTACGTCCGCGAAACTTTGCTCTTCTCTCTCTCTCTCTCTCTCTCTCTCTTTTTCTATCCCTCTCTTCCGCCTGTCTCTCACACGGTCCTTCTCTCGCTCCCTAGCACGCTTTTTCCTTCGGGTCGCCCTCCTCTTTTTCTCTCTCTTTCTCTCTCTCTCTCTCTCTCTCCATCCTTCTCTCCACGGCCCCTCCGCCCTTTTCGCTCGTTTCCTCGCTCTCTCTCTCGTCCCCTCGTCCTTCCTAAGCCCGCACCGACTCCCGTTCGGCCCACCCTCCCCCGTCTCCCCTCTCATCCAACGGCGTTTACATTTTACTTTTCTAGTAGCGAATTAAAACCGCGTTCATGCGCAGCCCGCGGAAGGGCGTAATGATTTTTTGAGGGGCGAATCGAGTGGGGTCGCCTACAGCACCGACGGAGGGGGTAGTAGCTGCGGGCGCGAGCTTAGCAGGAGCAGGATGGCAGAAAGGGAGATCGCGAGACAGGCCGGCTGCCGAATAGATGGATGGCTAGACTCCAGAGAGAGAGAGAGAGAGAGAGAGAGAGAGAGAGTACCGCCTTTCCTCGTTAAAATATCGGTGAACGATTAGAGAGGAGAGAATTGGATAGACACGCGCTCGTTCGACAGACGCGACGCGTGGGAGTGGATGATCGGGAAGATTTTAAATCGCGAAAGAAACGGAGGAAATCGAAAAACGAATCGCTCTCTATTTTTTTTTTTTTTTTTCCTTCTTTTTTTCGATACTCGAAAAATTTCCTTCGACGCGGACGATATTTCGATCTTCCGATGATTCGCGCGCCGTCGTGGAAAAACTTGCGAGCAACAATCCGAGAAAGAAACGATTACGGTCGGACGAAAGTAAGTCGTAGGAACCGGATGGATAAATCGTAGCGGGCACTGGTGGTGGCGCCTTTTAAAATTCCAACTCCAGCGCTTTTAATTGGAAGTCGTTAGCTTTGCGCATTTTCGTCTCGTGGGCTAACGGGTGGGATAAGTGGGGTGGGCCCGTGGAACAGGGACAAGGGGGGCGAGTGCGCGACGAAGAGAGAGAGAGAAAGAGAGAGAGAGAGGGGGGAAGGGAGATTTGCGAAGGAGAGGGCGAAAGGGAGAATCGAGAGAGAAGAGAAGAAGAGAAGAGAAGAGAAGAGAAGAGAAGAGAAAAGAGGTGGGCAGGGCAAGGGTATAGCGGGGTGAAAGAGGAGGCACGGCCGATGCGGCCACAGGCATAAAGCTCCCCACCATTCAGGCATTCGGGCTCTCTTTTCTCCGTTACTCTCTCCTCTCTCCCTCTCTCTCCCTCTCTCTCTCTCTCTCTCTCTCTCTCTCTCTCTCTCTCTCTCTGCGTACGCACTATTTTTTAGTCCGCACTTATTACGACAGATGTCTCATGCTCCGATAAAGAATAACGGCGGCCGGCGGGCGCCGTTCCCCCCCGCGTGCTAGTCCTAACCAGACTCGGGAGCTGCAGCCGTACTCTCGGTGCTTCTCGGCCTCTCGTGGCTCTCGCCCGTGACACGACACGACCGACGATATACTCGCCTCGGCACGTTACCTTTCGTTACGGTTACACCTTACGCACATCTTCCCTCCTTCCCTCCTCCCCCTTTCTCTCTCACTCTCTCTCTCTCTCTCTCTCTCTCTCTCTCTCTCTCTGTCTCTCTGTCTCTCCTCCTTCTCGCACTTTCGCCTCCGCCGGTCTCTCCACCCTCGCGCACGAGGGGCTCCACCTCCTCCCTCTTTGAAACGCGGAACGTGTTGCGCCGCCGTGACAGTGACTTTGTTCCACGACGTGTCAACGGTTGGTGTGCCTCCACGATCATCCGCGATCATCCGCGAATCCACGCGCGCCGGATACTACGCTCGCACGCTTCGGTGGTAGTATCAACAGCGACAGCGGCAGCGGCAGCAGCAGCGACAGCAGCAACAGCAGCAGCACCAGCAGCACTAGTAGTAGTAGTAGTAGTAGTAGTAGTAGCAATAGTAATAGTAGTAGCAGTAGTAGTAGTAGTAGTAGTAATATATTAGTAGTAGTGGTGGTTGATGGTGGCTGGTGGTGGTGGCGGTGGTGGTGGTGGTGGTGGTGGTGGTGCTGGTGGTGGTGGTGGTGGTGGTGGTGGTGGTGGTGGTGGCGGCGGCGGCGGCGACGGTGGTGGTGGTTGTGTCTCGGTGGAACGTAGCGGCGAGAGAGGCTTCGCATTCCGGAGTGAAGCGCGCGGCAATTTGCGTCACGGTGGCTGCCTGCATCCCGAACAGAGAAACACGTGGCTAGGTAGGTCGTGCGTGCGAGAGCCGGTTCGAAATTCCCGCGCGTTCCCGGTGTTTCGTATTTCGCGGGAATACTCCAACGATTTTACGCACACACGAGCCAAAGAGAGAGAGAAAGAGAGAGGAGAGAAAGAGAGATAGAGAGAGAGTGAAAGAGAGAGACAGAGAGAGAAAGGAAACGGGCAGAGAAAACGAATGATGAATTAAAAGACGGCGTGATACCGCGTTCTTCTTTCTCTTTCTCTCCTCCCCTGCCGATTCTTTTCCTTCCTTCCTTCCTTCCTTTCTTTCTTTCTTTCTCTGCGTTCTTCTTCGTTTCTTTTCTTTCTTTCTTTCTTTCTTTCTTTCCGCGACGACGTGAAGCCGCGCGTGGTGTGCCACTGCCTGGGCGTTGTATCGCCGCCGAGCACAGCCTCAGACTTCTCTCCCCTCGCTGCCTGTCCTCTCGCGGCGTCAACCCTCTTCTCTCCTCTCGTCCTCGCTCGGATCGAACGCGAGCGCGTGTGTGTATGTGGAGAAAGAGAGAGAGAGAGAGAGAGAGAGAGAGAGAGAGAGAGAGAAGAGTGGTCACTTTTTTTTTTAGGGAAGAACCGACAGAATATTCATATATTCGTATATTGGATTATTTTCGTTTTTCCACGGATTTCGTATCTGTTTCCGACTCGATCAGTGCGTCTGCCTCGCCTCTCGATTCCTTCGTTGGACGCGCGAAACGGGGGAAAACGGCGCGTGAAAAAGCTGCGCTCGAAGGATGCGCTTCTGAATCGCGTGCGACGTGAGAGAGAGGGAGAGGAGAACGGGAGGGAAATCGTGGATCGCACGTGAGATCGGAAGATGAAAAAAAGCTTCGACACCTTTCCTCGATCGCGTATCATCCTCCGTAGGTTTATATCCATCCTCGCGACGGAAGGGAATGGAAGCGGATGGATGGATGGATGGATGGATGGATGGATAGGTAAAAAAAAAAAAGAAAAAAAATAATTCGATTCCCGACGAAATCTGCTCAAACGCTTCGGCCCTTGTCTTTTCTCGTCGCTCTCTTTTTTCTTTCCCTCCCTCTCCGCTTTCCTCTCTGTCACTGTCCATCCGTCCGTCCGTTCGTGTTCGTGTTCTCTCTCCCCGCGTGTTTAGACGTGTGTGTATGTGTGTATGTGTATGTGTGTGTGTCTTTGGCCGTCTTTCTCCGTCAGACGGCACCTCTTTCTCCCTCCTGTCTCTCGTTCTCGCTCGTCGTACCGGCGATCGTCGGCTTTTCGTACGTTTTCGTGCGGCCTCGCTGCCGCGCCGCGACGTACGCCCGCGTCGACGAAGGCAGCACACAGCTGCACAGTCGTGACGTGACGTTTCGGGGGTTAGTTCGCACGGTATGTGACGGAGAAAGAGGCCACCGGTGGGACTGCTGTTCCAACGTGCTCCTTCGAGGATCGTGACGTTTCCGGTTTTTCGAAACAAACTCGTGACTTCTTCTGCTTCTTCTGCGACGTGTCTCTCTTCTCTCCCTCTCTCTCTCTCTCTTTCTTTCTTTTTTTCTCTTTCTCTTTATCTCTGTCTGTCTCCGTTTCTCCGCCCGACTTGTTCTTTCGTTCGTTCGTTCGTTCGTTGCTCTCGTGTCCGGCCCGAGACATGTGATCCTTGACGATTCCCTCGATCAGAGTCGACGAATCGCGAGCCTCTGCCCACTGGAAGCGGGAAACGACGGCCGAGACACGCTTATTCCGTCTCTCCTTTCATATTTTTTCTCCCTCTGTCGTCCGGTGTACGCGTCGCGGCACGCGCGAAACCGCTCGTTGCCGATCCCTTGCGCCTCTCGTCTTCGTCTTTCCTCCTCTTTCCTCCTTCTTCCCGAACGTTCCTCTCTTCTCTTCTCTTCTCTTCTCTTCTCTTCTCCTCTCTTCTGTTCCTTCCTTCCTTCCTTCCTTTCTTCCTTTGCTTCCTCCTTCGTTTCTTCCGGTATTATTCTTGCCGGCGAAAATAACCGGCTTTCCTCGATCATTTGACGCGCGGCCGTCTTGTCAACGCGATCACGTTTCGCGTGACGCGTCCCTCGTCCCCACGGACATCGATCGATCGATTGATAATCTCTCGGCAGATTTTTTTTTTTTCTTTTCCACGAGGGAGTTTCGAAGGCGAAGGATCGAGGATAGAGAGGAGGAGGGAAGGAGAGAAATCGGTGGGCAATCGTTGAAACGGATCGTTGTGGACGAGGCGCCGTGCACGGATCGGCCCGACGAGAATGACATTCCGCCACGACGAAGCAGCACTAGTGGCCGTGTGTAGGGGACTTTTTCGCGAACTTGTGAAGTGCGCACTTTTTTGCGAGGTGGCGTTGTGCAGATAAAACGCAGAGCGTTTCAATTCGGTTCATTGTTTCGGTCATTAGCTTGCGCGGCATGACGGGTGATAGGTGTGCTTTCGCGATAACGCATCTACTTTCTTCGAACTGTGATTACTTTCTGGATAATGTGTGGTGATTGTGCCTTAGAACGAATACGAAAAGCGTAAACTGCCGTTTAGCCGAGATCGCTGAGGAAAAAGGTATCGTATGCACACTCGTGACTCGTGGTCTTCGCAATCCTCTTCGCATTCCTCTCGCGCCTTCGTCTCGATCGCCTGTCATTTTTTTTTCTTCTTCTTCTTCTTCTTTCTCTCTTTCTTTCTTTCTCTCTTTTTCTCCCCCTGCTTCCCTCTCCCCCCCCCCCCCCCCTGCCCCGAAAAGAAAAAAAAATGTGCAATCGCGCGCGCGCGCCTCGATCACGGATTAGGGGGGAACGTAGTAATTAGGAAAATTCACGGAGCGTGAAAAATATTGAACGAAGGGACGTGACTCGTCGATCGGCAACGCGAACGAACGAGTTTCTTTTGTCGAATGTCCTCGTGCCTCGTGGAGTGCCTCACTTCCAGCCTATTAGCCGGTCCTATTATCAAAATGTTGCTCAGGATTTTCACGGCACTGCGAAACTTATCTAGAATTCGTCACATATAAATTTAGCAGTACGCGATAGCGAATTTAAAAAAGTCTGAAAACAGTTTTCGAATCGCACCGCGCGGCTTATATGATAAATGTGTATCTGAGGAGAGAGAGAGAGAGAGAGAGAGGGAGAGAGAGAGAGAGAGAGACAGAAAGAGAGAGAGAGAGAGAAGAAAAAGAAAAAACGAAGTTGCTCTTTCTTTCTTTCTTTCTTTCTTTTTATTTTTTTTTTCTTTCTTTTTTTCTTTCTTTTTTTTTCTTTCTTTTTTTCCTTTTTTTTTCTTGATTTATTTTAACGAAGATAATCGTTGGAACGTATCCAAAATATCGCGGCGTATAATATTTAATATTATTCACACCGGTTTCGCCGTGGTGCGTGGTTTCTTTTGTGCGCGATCGTGTGTACTTTAATTACTATTTCTTCGAAGCGACGAGCCGGACAGCGCAAAAATACCTTTCGAATCAGCGATACGATTATCAACGGAAACGTTGTAAAATAGTATACGGTATCCGTGCTCCTTCTTATCGTGTATAACGCGTTACGAGAATACGAGAAAAAACAAATCGGCGATCATTAATTCAATTTTATATCGAAAGCTTTTGTCATGGCGTGCACCAAACACCGTACGACGCGGGCAACGAGCACTGTAAATTTGTTTTAAGATCTTTTTTTTTTTCCTTTTTTTTTTTTTTTTATCATTTTGCTAAGATAACACTATCAGCATACATTTAATGCTTGCGCTTTTATAAGTGGCGGAGAGAATTATTTAATCGTATGTTCTGGCTTCACTCCAGCCTGCCGACCTAATTTTCTTGGTACGGTGCAAATAAAAATAAAAATAAAATAAATAAAAAAGAAAGAAAGAAAGAAAGAAAGAAAGAAAGAAAGAAAGGAAGGAAGGAAAGAAAAAGAAAAAGAAAAAAGGAAAAGGAAAAGAAAAAGTAGCGTAATCCTTCGCTTCTATTTTTACGCCCCTCCGTCCCCCCTCCGTCGCCCCTCTCCCTCCATGCACTCTTCAATTTTCTTATTCTTTTTTCCGACACTTCTCTCGGCCGTTAAAGAAGCCCGGACTTATAATATTTCTCTTATTCTTATCCGCACGGTTCCTCCTTTCGCGCGACGAAAAATGAGACGCGCCTACGATACAATTTGTACAAATTTCTCGAACGCGTGAAGACACGCGTGCTCTCTTCCCTTCTTTTCCCTTTCTTACCGCCACCGAATAGTAAAAATAAATATCGCGAATCCCCGAGAATCCGTCGAATTTTCGAATAGAATATTTTATACGTTTCTCTCCCCCTCCCCTCCCCTCCTCCTCTGGAAATATTCTTATTCCCGTCACGAATTAATATTGTATATTGTTGGACGCACGGCACTGGCACATATCTGTGCCGATCCACCTTGCCCCTAATAAGCGAATCTTCGTTATTAATTCGCGAGTTACATAAGTTCTCTCTGGTGAGTCTCCGGTCCGAGAAGCGTAAGGGAATTAACATCTGTTCTAATGCCTTAATCTTACCTTACGGTAAACACGGTTTGGTTCGGTTAAACACCGGCCAAAGAAAGAAACAATTATATAATCTCGGCCCGTCCTTTTTTTTTTTTTTCTTTTTTTTTTTCTTTCTTTTCCCCCTTTTTTGCGGACGGATGACGGCGAAATATCTTTTTTCCTCCTTTCCCTCTCCCCCTCTCTCCTCCTCCCTCCCCCCCCTCCCCACCCTCGTTTCGTACGCTACGTGCTCGGGTAACGAGATCGAGATCGATCCTCGATCGCGGCGTTGCATGCCTCGTGTTGCAACGCGTGATGTTCTCTTTCTTTCCTTCTCTTTTTCTTTCTCTTGGAATTTCGAAAGCGAAACCGGTTATCGAAAATTTATCTATCCCGCGGTTTATCACGCGTGCAACTAGAAAATTTCTGCTCTCGAATTTCGTATTCCGTCGAAACACGGCCGGTGTGGAACGATTTGAAAACGCGTTTGTGGTATCATCTCTCTCTCTCTCTCTCTCTCTCTCTCTCTCTCTCTCTCTGTTTGTCTCCTTTCGGACCCGTCGTCGAAAAAAGAAAGTTGCTCGATACTTTTTCCTTTTCTTTTTCTTTTTCTTTTTCTTTTCTTTTTTTTTTCTTTTTTGTTTTTTTTTTTTTTTCTTTTCTCGTTTCTTCCAATTCACCTGTGTGTGATAAGATAAGTGTCAAGTTTCCACCTGTTTGAACTATAGCGAACCGTTCTCTTTCTGATTGTAGGTGAATAGATATAACGATGGTAGATACGCAACACTTTTGTCTGCGATGGAACAATTACCAAAGCAGTATAACGTCGGCATTTGAGAACTTGAGGGACGATGAGGATTTTGTGGACGTCACACTGGCCTGCGATGGCAGAAGCCTCAAAGCGCACCGCGTCGTACTTTCCGCTTGCAGCCCTTATTTTAGAGAATTGCTCAAGGTAAGGCACGCCTCCCTCCCCCATCCCCTTTTTTATCAACCACCCCTCCCCTCGGTCTCCTTGCCCCCCCTCGCACACTCCTTGGACGTAATTTCTAAGCAATATATATATATATATATATATATAGGACCTCGAGTCAATGTTAAATTAAAAAACGTATCGCGAGAAAAATGTCTCTTCTTTCCCCCCTCGCTTCCCCTTTTGCAGAGCACACCGTGTAAACACCCGGTGATAGTACTTCAGGACGTAGCGTTCAGCGATTTGCACGCATTGGTCGAGTTCATCTATCACGGGGAGGTGAACGTGCATCAGCGTTCCCTTAGCAGTTTTTTGAAGACTGCCGAAGTCCTCAGGGTATCGGGGCTTACGCAACAGGCAGACCAAACGGACAGGGACGAGGTAAGCGGGTTTCTCCGATCAATCTCTCTCTCTCTCTCTTTCTCTCTTTCTCTCTCTCTCTCTCTCTCTCCCTCCCTCCTACTGCTGCTCCTCCTTTCCCCCCTCCATGGCCGTTCGTGCCCGCGATACGTACACGCGAAAATTCATAACGGGCATCGCATTACCTCCGTATTGTAATTAATTATCGGCAAGCCAGCAAATTGATTACGGTCCTCATGTTATCATTACTCCGATAGACGTAGACGTGACTTTCAACTCTGGAGAAGAGTTTTACCCTTATCTCGGTGCACAATGTGTATCCATCTTGATTCCAATCCATAATTGTCATAGGTCAAGCAAACAAAGATAACCGGCCCGCGGTGGTTACAAATAGAAAGCGAGCAATCGTAATCGTGGTCTCGGGGGCATGCGCGGTATATTGACGGACGATATGCATACACCATTATTTTATTTTCCTCATCGAAGATCACTTTACTTGTTTATTCTTTCCGATGCTTGCCTTGATCGCACCTCTCTCTCTCTCTCTCTCTCTCTCCCTCTTCTCCCTCTTTTCATCCAGCCTCTCTCTCTCTCTCTCTGTCTCTCTCTCTTTCTTTCTTTCTTTCTTTCTTTCTTCCCTCCTTCTCTTCACGTTACAGCTGTCCCACGTGCGCGCGTTGGCCGCCGGTGGCAATCACCTTCCTTTCCACGAGAAATTGGAGGAGAGTTTTCCCAGGGGTGGTTCACCACCGACCCCGGTCACCCCGACACCGACCACCGTGCAGCAATTGTTGCGCAGAGCGCAGATACGCAGGAACGAGAGACGGACGCCCGATCCCCACGATGAGACGGCGAAGAAGCCGAGGGTGCTTTCGCCTCCGCTCAACAACAACGACGCTACGCCCACCGATTTCTCGATGGGGGTGAAGAACAACCACGTGTCGAGCAAGGTGGAGGGGAACGGGGTGCACGAGGAGAACAGCCCCCTCGAGGACAATATCAAGTGCGAGCCGTTGGAGCTGACAGGTGGTAACAGCGGTAACGCCGCGGGGAACAACGAGGACTCGTCCGATTCCGGCGCCGCCGCGTCCGATCGGCCGCCCGCGTCCGCGAGCAGTAACGAGCACGAGGCCGAGTCCGAGCACACGTCCACCCCCAATTTTTTGTCCGAGACGAAAATCTTCCCGCCCACGCCAGGAAGCTTTAATTTCAGTATGGCGGCGTTAGCCACGGAGCATACACCGTTGTCAGGTACGTGGACAAATTCCTGCTCGGAACACAGGCCTGTACGCATTGACCAATTTTCATTTGACCGATTTTGTGCGATTATTGAGCATGCATTATCCTCTTTTTCTTTTTTATTTTTCTTCTTGCATCGATTTTTGTTACCGAGTTCCTCCCTTTTTCTTTCTCTCTCTCTCTCTCTATCTCTCTGCTTTTCTTTCTTTCTTTCTTTCTTTCTTTCTCTCTTTCTTTCTCTCTTTCTTTCTTTCTTTCTAGTTTCAAAGTTTAGCGTTTAGTTCGAGCTAAGAGTTTTTAATTGCGATGTTGCGTACAGGCCGTTGTTCGATCGTTGTCGCGAGAGAACGTTCGTTGCTACGTGTGACGATAGTGAAATTTCCAGGAATGGGCCACGGGTTGCAACCACCGGACTTGGCAGGAACTTCGCAAGGTAAGAATTAAGCCTTACTTACTTACTTACTTACTTACTTACTTACTTACTTCCTACCTGGCTCTGCCCAAATGTAAAATCATTAGAATCAACGAAGTCGAGGAACTCGAGGGAACACGAGTTGGAACACAACCCCCGCCCCTCTCCCCCTGTGTATATATATATACTTGTTATGCGTGTTCTCGTGTATTGACGATGAACCAATACGTTACCGATTTTCGATTCGTTGATGGGGGATGTTGACTTGAACGAGCTTGATTTCTTTTGATTTTTCACTAAAAAAAAAAAAAAAAAAAAAAAAAAAAAAAAANAAAAAAAAAAAAAAAAAAAAAAAAAAAAAAAACAAAAGGGCAACTTTTCTTCTATGCTGTTCCATTTATATTTTCTATCGATCACATCACAGTCGATCACATCGTGGCCCGCAATTGTCCGCGGTGTGGCGGTTCGCTCTTAAATTACAAAAAAAGGAAAAAAAAAAAAGTAACTAAAAAAAAAAAAACAAAACAAAAAAGAGAAGGACATTGTGCAGTTATATCAAACACTAACAAAAATCATCGAATTTATAAGAATGAATATACCATATATATATATACATACATGCATACATACATACATACATATTTTATATATATATATATTTATTTTTTTTATTTGGTTGCGGTGAAAGAGCATTACTGTCTGCTTGGACGATTAAAACTTCTTCTTCTAATTAGCATGCGTTTACAAAAATCATCGATATCATCATTACTCAAAATGAATATCATTTGTCGAAATTCGCCTTGCATCCACATTTCATACGATGTCACATAACGTTAACGCGCGATTATCAACCGGATTCGCGATTGGATTGGAATGAATTTATCTGCTGATCTATCGATCCGTCTTTCTCTATTCGGCCACGGAACGATCCGCGAATTTCTTGGCGCAAAATGGAAAGAAAAGAACGTATACGTATACACGCGCACGCATACACAACCGCTGTGGAATCGCGCGGAATCGATCGATATCGTTTTATAGATACGCGCTCGTCGCTATACGGATAACTGCGGGGCAGAGAAAGAAGAAAGAAATACAGCGGATACGTTCGTTCCTTCGAAGTCGTCGAATTCGATCCGATCATTCTAATTGGCATAAAGCGATGAAAGCAACCATCACTGTTTGGCATCACTGTACAAAGTATCTGCCGCAAAATCTCTATCTCACGTTTAATGGAAAAGAGAAAAAAAAAAAAGAAAAAAAAAAATCGAAAAAGAACCCCCTGGAAAATGATCGAGAAATAATAAAGGAAAAAGGGAAAAAAAAAAACGAAACGAACAAAAGGATGTAGGGAAAGAAAGCGCAGAAGAAGTAAGACGACAGTGAAACGACAGCCAGTGACGGACTGTCGTTCTCTTTGTTGTCTAATAAACACCTAATAACGATAAATCGTCTCCGCCAAAAAACATTTTACAAAAACGAATTTATTTTAAACGCTTTAAAAATTTCTCCGAGTCGCGTCAAGTGTCGTTTTTTTTTTTTCGATCGACGATTGATCCCTCGTTACTCCACGTTTTATATACGTTTTATATACGTTTTATATACGTTTTATATACGTGCCGTGCTCGTTATATTGTTCAATTCGTCGTTTCTTTTTCTTTTTCTTTTTTTTTTTTTTTTTTTTAAGTTTCGTATATCAGTGTTGTCGTCCCGTTTAACGTTTGGTAACGGAAAATACGCAGCTACCGCGATATCGCCGATACGGCCAGCATTATGACATTGCTTATAATTTTATATACGTAAAAATATATACAGCGTAACGATTTTTATAAATACGACGCATCGATTTTTATAAATGTATATATTTATATATATATATATTTTTCCTTTTTATTATAATTTTGTACAGACGATTAATCAATAATCGATTACAATGATTACACGTATTACAATTGTGCGTAAAATTTACAATTTGTAAAAAAAAAGAAGTTTTGACACGACGAGACATTTTGCAGCCTGCTCGTTTCCAATTACGAAAGAGGATGTGATAGGTCGTTTTGTCGCATTTTTTCTTTTTTTTTTTTTTTTTTTTTCGTTTTTATTCGAGCGACATTTGACCCCGGTACGACGTGCGTGTACCATATGGTAAAATTATACCGGTAATATCTCTCGACTTATTGGCGATTCTCTCTTTCTTTTTCTTTTTCTTTTTCTTTTTCTTTTTCTTTTTTTTCTTTTTTTCTCCGCTCGTTTCGTCGTTTCTAAAAAAATTTCCTCTCTTTTTTTTTTTACTATTCGTATTAGCTCGCGTTCGTATGCACATTCGGGGGTGGTGCAACGCGCGCATCGAGGGCGGGGAGGAGGAGGGAGGGGGGGAGAAGAAGGGTTAAACTCGTTTAATAAACGATAAACGATTTCAAAGTTTCGACTTTGTGTATGTTTGGGATTATATACGGCGCGTAACGTTTGTTTCCATTCGGCGTGTATCGTCGCCCCGTAGGACGAATACAATACAATACAATTTCACTTTTGTTTCGTTCGTCGATTCGAGCGGACGTGTATCGTGCGGTGGCACGATTTCGCGTAATTTTTACACGTTTTTTTTACCACGTCGCGATTTCCACGCCGCGCGGTGATCGATTCCTCCTCCAGTGGAGAAGGACAAACGGAGGTAAAAAATATAGAAGAGAGATTCGTGTTTTCTTTTCTTATTTTCTTATTTTCTCTCGATTAAGATGTAAGTAAGGACAAGGCGTTTCTTTTTTCTTTTTTTTTTTTTTTTTTTTTCTTCTTTAATAAACGCGTCCTGTAGGCAGTAACGTCGTTAAGTAAATTCAGGTGCGGCCAATCGCCGCCTCCTCCTCCGATTTAATATTTGAACGGCTGGCTTATACTAGGTTAGTACTGAAAAAGTTATCAGGGGCCGTCGATAAGGCCGCAGATGTTATCCGCGAAATTCAAGGTCCCTCTATCTCTCTGACGAACGTGGCCAACTAAACATTGGCCAAACTAAAAATACCACGACCTTGGTACGCCACTCACGTTCTTTACGGCGCGCTGCGAATCATTAGACGCATTAAATTATACTTGTCCGCGAAACTGTTCGTCCCGCAGCCTAATTCGCTGTATTCTCTGTCTGCTCCTCCCTCCTCCCTCCTCCTCCTCTTCCTCCTCTTCCTCCTCCACCACGCTTCCCCTCCCTCTCTCCTTTTCTTTTCGAAAAAGTCGTCGCCTCTCTTCCTCTCCGTCTCTCTCTCTCTCTCTCTCTCTCTCTCTACGCATGGTAGGTTTCCTCCATTCGTGCGAGAGCGAAGAAACAGCAGGAGGACGGTTACGGGCGTGCGAAAATAGACGGGTAATGCTCGAGTAGAGACGGCCATTAAAAACGATACTCATCATTCTTGACCGTGAAAATTATACTCGGTTGGAAAAAAAAAAAAAAGGAAAAAAAATGCCTGGCCAGGGACACCTCCTCTAATCGGTCATTTGCAGCGAACGACCGTTTGTTTTTTCGCATTTTTATCTCGGCCAAGACTCCTCGGCTCTTGCGCTCGTCTCCTATCTATCGCGGTCGCGCGCGTTTGCTCGCTCGCGACGGGCAATTTTTTTTCTCTTTTTCTTTTTTTTTTTTTTCTTTTCTTTTCTTCTTTTTCTTCTTCTTTTCTCTCTTTCTCTCTCTCTTTTTTCTTTCGGATCCAACCAACTGCAACGACGCGATTTTGGCAAGGTTTCAGACGTCGAACAGGCGACGTGAGATAGGATTGCAGGGTCGTCGGTCGGTCGGTCGGTCGGTCGGTCGGTCGGGCCCGCGAAACTTTCCGCCTAATCGTTTTAACCGGTTAAAATTGAAGCCAAAGGCGCGAGTAGATTCGATCGCCCCTCCTCCTTTTCTATTTTCTAGTAGTAGTGGTTCTTTGATCGGGATTTGTATTTTCTATTAGGAAAGAGGCCGTTACGTATCGAGTACTCGACGATAATGATAGTGATGATAGTGGTAATAGTGACGATTTTATCGGGAAAAGAGCAAGGTCTAGAAGCTTCGTAGATTTAATTTAGAAAGCTCGTTATCATTCGATATATGCCGATAAAGTGAAATTTTATTCTTGTCAATAAATAGCACGCTCCGCCCGTTCTTTAATCATCTCTGATTCGTAATGGCCGGTTACGTAAAAAACAATCGTGCCAGATAGAAAGTACAACGTACGACCACTTGTCGCAACGATCGGGGCCTTAGAGCGCACGAGTTTCTTTGTTCCTTCGCTCTCTTCTCTCTCTCTCTCCCTCTCTCTCTCCCTCTCTCTCTCTCTCCGTCTCTCTCTCTCGGTTTAATATCTTTTTATTCCGACGGAGCCGGCTGCGAGCATATGGCAGTCTGCGGTATTTCTCTAGACAGATTCGTTCTTGGCGTCGAAAAAGAAGAGAGAGAGAAAGAGAGAGAGAGAGAGAGAGAGAGGAGAAAGAAAGAAAGAAAAAAATATTCGAACGAATTTTTGCTCGAATTTTCTGTAATATCTGTTTCTGCTTTGATTCGAGGGCAGAATTATTGTTAGGAATGCGCGAATTTTTCTATATATACATACATATATATATATATATATATATATATATATATATATATATAAAAAGAGAGGAAATCGCGCGAAAACAATGAAAATTATACGGTCGATCGTGTCGTTAACCTTTCACATTTGCTTCGGTTGTTTACCGAAAACGAGACTGAAATGAATTTCGCACCGTGACATTTGAAATTAAAATAATTGTACGTGCGTGATCGATGCGTTTACTTTTTCCAAGGAGGATCGGGGATTGCATAGAGAGGCGGGACTGGGGAGGGGAAGATGCGTTTATCGCGGTCTAATTTTAAATCTATTCATCCCGCTCCCCTCCCCTTTCCCCGCGCATCCTATGCCCGCGTTTCGCTCGCCGGTTTCGATGTCATTATCGCAAAGAGAGGAGAAATTCTTTCCCCGGGCCTAGATATTCTTAGCTACCGTTTCCCGCTCGCCACTAAAATTGTTTAAAAAACCCGATACGCGCGAGGTGTCGGTGGCGGCGGGACAGTGGCGGCAGTCCCGCAACCGTCGCGATTCCTCTTTTCTCTTCCTCCCTCCTCCACCCCCGCCTCCTTCACCCTATTCTCTCTCTCTCTCTCTCTCTTCCCTCCCTCCCTCTTCCTTTATTTCCTCTCGTTTTCTGCTCTTTTCCGCGAACGCCTGCATCCGCGGTAACCTGTTGTAAAACCCGGCCGCATAAAAATAGCGGGTGCCGGGCTCTGGAGTCGAGCACTTTATCCTCTTTCTCTGTCTCTTTGTATCAGAGAGAACCGTTGTAGCGCATCGAGCAAATATTTATTTCACGGGACGTATTTCCCAGTGGTGGACATACCGCGCTCCGCCCCTTCCCCTTTCCCGTTTCTTTCTTCCCCCTTTCTATTCTTCTTTTTTCTTTCCTTTTTTTTTTTTTTTTTTTTTGTTTTTACTTTAACGGCCGATCGAATTTTTCAGCGGTTCGGGGACTCCTTCGACGTTTCACGAAGGGAAATTCTCGCGTCCTAGGATTTCTTTCTTTTTTTTTTTTTTTATTTCCCCTCCGTTCGAGTCGACGATGAAGGATGGCGATTTTACGGGCGGGTATCGCACGGGCGGAGGAACGGAACGAGTCGCGTTGGAATCGAAAAATTAGGAGAAAAGAAATTTCGTGGGTTACGTAACGCTCGCTAATGGCCCCGTGTTTGCGAAACACGGAATTCATGCTGCCATCTGTCGACGTTGTCGATTCCGATGGTGTGTGCAAAAGTCTGCCTCTTGCTTACGTGACGTCCGCGAGTCCTCCTTGCATACGTCTATTTACTCGATACTTACTCATCTCGCTCGTTCTCTCTCTCTCTCTCTCTCTCTTTCTTTCACTCTTTTTCTCTCTCTCCTCTCTCCTCCATCGGCCCTCTCCGTGCCCCCCCTCCTACGCCGCCGTCCCTCTCGTTTCGGTAGCCAACGATCCGCGCGTTGGCAATTTACTTTGGGCCGCGTACGCGGCGCCTCCCAAGGCCAAACGAAAGTTCGTTCTGAACCAAATCCGATGGAATTTTTTATCTGTAGTATGTACTTATCGGGGACGCCCAGGTCTAGCTGCTTGTTTTCGCCTTGTGCTATTATCGATGATGAACTTGAGGTGACCTCGAAAACTGCGCAACAGTGAGCGCGGGTGTGACGGAGACGAGAATATGACGGGACGAAAGAGCGAGACAAGGGAAGAGGGGCTAGGAACGCGCGAGGGAGGGGCAGGAGAGCGAAAGAGAGAGGGGCGTTTACACTTTCGCTCTATATCATTCGCCGTCGTGGCTCTTTTTCTCTCTCCTTTTTTCTCTCTTTTTTTCTCCTCTCTTTCCTTCTTTTTCTCTTCTCTTCTCTTCTCTTCTCTTCTCTTCTTTTCTTTTCTTTGCCGACACTTTCCAAAACGCCTCTTCCGACAAATTTCACCCGTCCCGATCTTTCGATACGTGCGCTGGCCAATGCATTCTCGTTCGTTTCTTTTGCTCGACGCGAGATCGATTCTTGCGCGAGGCTCGCAAGGTGTTACGTAAGAGGAGAGGCGAAGGACCGGTTACGATCGGCGATCGGAGGTCGTTAAAAATTAGTCGGGGGAGGGAGGATTGGAAATTTGGACGAGAAACTTGTTTACGTATCGCGTCGAATCGCCATCTCCGTGAGAGGCGTCGTAACACGGTTCGAGACAAGGTGAAGGTCTCTCTACTTGGTTGCGGTGCTTAATTCATTGAGACATTTTAGTTTCGAGCATCGCCGCCAGTCTCCACCAGCGCGCGTGCACCGATCTCTCTCTCTCTCTCTCTCTCTCTTCGCGAACAAATTCGTCCGACGCGTACTCGTTCCTCCTCTCCTCCCCCGTTTTTTCCTCTTATCGCGACCGATTAACGCGATTCGACGTATCGTATAGAAAAGAGAGAGAGAGAGAGAGAGGGAGTGGAGGGAGAAAAAAAGAAGAAGAAGAAGAAGAAAGCATCGTCGTCGTCACGCGCTCTCTAAAGGCCGTCGTCGTTGCACTCGTAGACTCGTTGCATCTCGAACAGATTTCCCCGAATCTCTATAAACGTTTCGATTTTCGGTTAATTGGGGAAAGAAGGGGGGATATATATCCCATCCTCTCTCTCTCTCCCTCGTCCGCGTTTCAGAAACGATTCCTTTCTGTGAACGACTAAATACACACGATCCAATATCCGGGAGGACTTATCGTTTGATCGCGGTGATTTCGCGAAACGCGCAACCGCATCGAATGGAAAAAGGGCCGTGCTCGGAGGGGAGGGTAGTTCTTCCTCGCGTCCTCCTTGCTTCTTCCGTCCCCACCACTGTCCACGTAACTCTTTCAAAAGTTCGTAAGACTCGCGTAACCAATCCGGAAGCTACTTAGATTTTTCTCTCCCCGCCGATCCCTCGGCCCTATCCTCCTCCACCCTTCTCTCTCTCTCTCTCTCTCTCCTCTTTACAACCCCTTGGCCCTCCCTTAGTCGTGCTCTACTCTCTCTCTCTCTCTCTCTCTGTCTCTCTCTCTGTCTCTCTCTCGGTTTCATAGTCGCGGTGGTAGCGAGCTATCGATCGCCGTGGCTCTCCGCTTAGAGTCAACATCAGTCATAATACAGCGCAACGGCATACGGGGGTTATTAAGAATAATACGCATCCTAGGTATATATCCCCTTCCCGGCACCACGGAAAAACGGGGGAAGGAGCGTCGTACGTGGGGGGGTTCGGTTGCTAAGGTAACCGGCTGGGTAAAATCCCGCAAAGAAGAAGCATCGCCGTTATGTTCCCGCTCTTGCTCTTGCTCTTGCTCTTGCTCCTTACTCCTTACTCCTTACTACCACCCGTTACTACTACCTCCGCTGCTCTCTCGTTGTTGTATCGACATCTCATACTCGCGGACGTTGTACCGGCTTTTATGAGACGATGAATGTACACTCGCCCTATCTTCCCTCTTAGCCCACCTTTCAACCCTCCTTTCTGCCCCTATTCTCTCTCTCTCTCTCTCTCTCTCCTCCTCCTCCTCTCTCGGTCGTCTTTTCGCGATTCTTCTCTCCTTTTAACGGGCGATGCACGACGATTAACGACGTCCGTTATCCATTTAGCCGGAAACCGAAGCCTTTTCCACCGCGCGCCACCCCTTTCCATTCCTCCCTTTTCCTTTCTCCCTTTCTCGCATTCACGACCATCTCACGGCCTTTCTTCCGACGCGAGACCACCACGTCCTCCCCGATGAGACGATAAGAGATCGGTGTCGCGGCCGACGTTCGTTAAATCCGGCGTGAACATCTCGATGGACTCAGCCCCCTCCTCTTTGGTTGCAGACCGGGAGGTCGCCGAGGAGGACGGGGGTTGGCAGTCCCCTACCAACGGAGACGGTCAACGGCAAACCGGCCAATCGAGCCATAGTACGGGAACTAGTCAGTGCGAGATGATGCAGGAGCACCAACACCATCCGGACCTACCCATTATCGATCTCTTAGACGACATTAACGATCAGATGCAGATCGTGCTCAAGTCGGAACCTCTGTCGCCCAAGATAGACGAGCTCGAGTCCTGTTTGCTCACCGAGCAGATCGATCTGCAGTCGGAACGGGACTCGGCCTGCAATAATGCCGCCAATAACGGGCAACAGATGCGCCAGCAGGGCAGGCAACAGCAACAGCAACAGCAGCAACAACAACAACAACAACAGCAACAACACCAGCCGAGGACGGTTGCCACGAACGAGAGCGTACCATTCACGGATCTTCGCTGGTTGATGCAAAACGGGAACTCGCAGGCGCCGTCCTCGAAGCACGTCCGCGGCGACACGACGACGGCGGCGGCCAGGGCACAGGCCGAGGCTCAAGATCTCAAGTACACCGGCCGCTCGATCAGCGGTACTTACTGTAGCTTTTGCCAGAAGACTTTCTCCCGCGCCTGGTCCCTGCAGAGACATCTGGCGGACACGCATTTTTACGTGCCGCAGTCGCTCTGTTGCGACCAGTGCGGCAGGAGTTACAAGTCGAGGAACAGTCTGGTCAGTCACAAGAGTCAGTATCACGCGAAGAAAGAGCGGAAGGAGCACGAGGAACAGTGCGAGGCCAAGTATTGGCAGACACCGATGGTCTAGTCTTGACCGGATACGCGTGCAAGAGGTTCCGTCTTGAAACGGAGGATCCATCCACGAAGAGAGAACGCGCCGTTAACCGGCATGAGAAAGCGAAGAGACAATCGTTTAGACAATTTTCTGTAATATAATATTCGCGTTGTAGTAATTTCCGTTACCGTCGCACACCGTGATCCTAGTCTGCTTTATTTTTTTTTTTTTTTTCTTTTTTTTTTTTTTTCGATCAACGTTACCGATTACCTCGATTACCACGCCAAAGATGTCGTTTCACGCGCGACCCTTTTATCCCAAATAAGTTCCGCCATCTAGTTTCGCGCCAAGTTCAGCGAGCGAGCAATCTTTCCCGCGGGAAAATCGATACCACTCTCCTCCGGTACGACCGTGCTCTTCCTCATCCACCCTAGAGAGCGAGCCAAGGGTAGGTTTTACCCTTGCGTATTTTAGCCGACGATAAAGTCAACCTTGTTACGTTTCTCCGTCGATTAGCGACACCACCACTGCACCGGTGGTGGTGGTGTGCTCGATCGACTATGGAGAAGGATGCATAGCGGCTGTGCAATCTTTCTCTCTCTCTCTCTCTCTCTCTCTTTTCCTCTCTTTCTCTAAATCTCCGAATACGTATTTTTGCCGACAGAGTTTTTTCGCCGCGGAAAACGTATTCGTTTACCAAGTACGAATCTATTTATCGGCCGATCGGCAACTACAAACCCCTATCCTATCTGCAGGCACTCAAAAAAACAATTTTTAGATATCGATTCAGGGACTAATTTCTCACCCCCCCCTCTCTCCCTGTCTTTTTCTCGTATTTCTAGTTCCGTCCGCCATATCTCGCCTCTGAATCTTTTTCTCTTTCTCTTTCTTTCTCTCTTTCTCTTTCTCTCTTTGCGCCTTTCTCATGCTTGGATCGATCAATCAGATTTTCTATAACGTTTCGCCGACAATGACGGACTTGTGTCAATCTTGTGTCTCGCGACGTTCGTGCGAGAAGAAGAGGAAGGACGTTATTGACTGTCGCGGGATCGTAGTAGTTAGTTAAGGCTAAGGCGCGCAAAGAAAAAAAAAAAAAAAANAAAAAAAAAAAAAAAAAAAAAAAAAAAAAGAAAAAAAACGTAATTGTTGCTCTATAGTGAATGTCGTTAGAAAATTGAATTGAGAGAAATAAAAGAGAATTCGATGGAATGAAAGAATTTGTTGTTTCACTGACAAAATATACATATACCAAAAATAAAATATTACCCGGAACGTAGTCGTTACATGGAAAAATTCGTGAATATACGAATGATGTAGGCGGAGGGTTCCGTTCCGTTTTGCGAGTCATCACGTATTACGCATTAAATGCATATTAAATGAAAATACAGAGAGATCAATAATCAAGTGTTTCGCTTCATCGCATCATCCCGTTAGACAAAATATCACACCCTTGTATATATATATATACATAATATTTATATACACATGTATACCACCACAAGAATCTACTCTGCTCTGTCTTGCTGTAAATAATACGCATCGACATGGAATTACATCTCTGGTGCTCTGAAAAACACTAACGTCATCGCTCACAGAAATCGTTCACTGGAATCTTGGAATTGCTTGCACTCTACTATCGTAATCGTAAGCGCTAAAAAAAGTAATAGAAAAGTAAGGAAAAAAAAAAAGTAATAATAATATAAATAGAATAAAAAAAAAAAAAAAAAAAGAGCATGACGACGAATCACGAATCGAAATGGTACGGCACACGTCGCCTTCCGACCCGGAAAAAAAAAAAATAAACCCTTCTGCGATCCATTCTGTGGCCATTGTCATTGATCACGAATCACGACACGAAATCACGCGTATGTATATGTTGTCCAATTCCACGTAAAGATATCGATATTCATGCAGTAAAAAAAAAAATCGAGAACGATCGAAAAACCTTCGGAATCTTCTTCTCTAATCGTTGCATAGAATTTTGACGTAATCGTCCGCTTCGAGGAGAGGGATGGTGGGAAAGAAAAGAAAAAAAAAAGAAAAGAAAGAAAAAACTTGGTAAACAGTGACAATGGTGAGAGGAAAACGATGCAGAAGGGTGAAGTACTTTCTCCTCGGAAAGCGCGCACGCCGTACCACGTATAACACGTGTATAACAAAGAAATAAAAAAAAAAAAAAAAACTAATAATAATAAATAAAAAGATAAAAAGTAGAGAACGAGCGTACGATGAAGATGCTATATACATACATGATGTGGTAGCACCTGCAAGCATAATTACGTGGTTCCAAAGTAACGCAAAAAAAAAAAAAAAAAAAAAAAGTATATATATATAAAACAAACAATAAAAAATAAATAAAATAGATAAATAAAAAGACGGTTTGAGCACGGCTTGGTCGGGTGACGGTGCAACTAGTGTGCGCGACTAATCGAGAAGGGCGCACGATATTCTCTCTCTCTCTCTCGGCTCGGAAAAAATAAAAAAATAAAAAAAAAGGTGGTAGATGGTGGTGTAAGAGTGAGAACTGATGAGGAGGATCGCGGGGCACACGCGACACCGTGTGGCTAGGGAGAGGACTCTCTAGGGAGTGGAGAATCACCCCCCCCCGATTCCTCCTACGTTACGTACCTACGTTACGTACGTGCCCGACGTTACGTTCGACCTGACTGACGATGGTTCGGGCGAAAAAACCCAAAAAAAAGTAACCCCTGTGTCTGGTTCTGCCGCCAGGTCCGTTGGCTGGCAGCGGCGCGACCGATGAGTTTCGATGCGAGCCTTGCAACAAAATCCTGACCTCCCTAACGCGGTTGAGGCGGCACATACAGAACGTGCACACCAGGCCCAGCAAGGAACCGATCTGTAACATCTGCAAGCGGGTTTACTCGAGCCTGAACAGCCTCCGGAACCACAAGAGCATCTATCATCGCCAACACAGCAAGAACGAGCAGCAACGGAAGGAGATGGAACAGATGCGCGAACGGGAGAGAGAGCAGAGAGAGCACTCGGACAGAGTTACCTCTCAGCAACATCAACAACAACAACAGCAACAACAACAACAACAACAACAACAACAACAACAGGATCAACAACAGCAACAACAATCGCGAATGGGATAGAAAAGAACGAGATGTCGCGAATATTTTTCGGGAGGGCCCGCGAAACCTTGAAAACTCTTCTCTCTCGCCAATTTTCGGTTTCTCGAACATCTCGCCGATTTCTCGAGGAAAATATTCGAGGAGATTGTTGCAATTAGGTGTTAGGAGTTTTTCTCGATTTCACCGAACGATTAGACGAGAGAGATTAAGATTAAGAAAAAAAAAAAAAAAAAAAAAAAAAAA